AACGACGGCGGAGTGACTACAGTCGCCAATCGACGAACAGTAATCTGCCAGGAGCGGAGTCGGTCTCTCTTAGAGCGGATAATCGGAATCGGATTCTCCTTCGAGAGCGGTGGATCAGTTCTGATTCTCTTTCGAGAGCGGATGATCGAATCTGCCGATTACGATTACGCCGCGTTTTATATACCTTGAATCTCGCTTGATTCGCTATTTACCGCGGTTGTTCGGCGGTCGCGCTGTTTACTGTTTTGGAGGACGCGCTGTCCTCTTGCGCTTTCGGTTCGCGGTGTTCGGCTTGCGTTGTTATTATTACGTAACGATATGCATCGTTACATATTTTTGGAAACGATTGCAATTCAACATCACAGTTTTATCTTATACTAAATTTTTGTTTGTGGTAATATTGTACTACACATATATAAAACTAAATAATCACAATTATTAAATTAAAATTATGTTGTACACAGACAAATCTTATAAAGAAATAAAAACCTGCCTTATAGTAGATACATTTGCCAAACTATTAATTACCAACAACAAATAAAATATTTACTTTCATTTAATCAATTACATATTATATTCTTTAAATCTCAAAAACATAAATTATGTTAATATTAAACGTGTAATTATATATATGTAACTTTTAATATAATCGTTTTAATATATGTTTAAATGAAACCATATCACATATATATTTTATGAAATAGCAAGAAAATGAAATATACTTAACATTAATGTCCCCGTTAACTATTCATTGTCTGTATTCTTTATTGAGTATATTTGCGTCATTACTTGCAACAACTGTTTCTGTACAGTCATTTTTTCCTCGTGCATTTTTAGTCTTTCTTTTCTAAATTGGCCAAACATTTTAAGTTTTTTCTTATCTCGTGTTTTTCTTTCTTCATAATGAGTTCTTGTTTCATTCATTAGATCCTGTAAAAGAGACTTTCTTTTTCTCTTAGGTTCTGTCGAAGATGTTAATGATGATGAACTATTTGAAAGTTCACTTGAAGAAGATGACAATCCACTGGAAACTTCTGCCAGATATTTTGGAGTAGCACATGCCCAATTCCCAAAAATTTCATCCATGTCCTATAAATAGAATTTTATTTCTTTTACAGTTATTTCACTTTATTTTAAATTAATATAGTAATCAATTAATATAATAATATAGTAAAGTAATCAATTAATATAATATATAGTATTAATTAATATAGTATTTCATATATAATAATTTATGTAAAAAGTACTTTGTAAAAGGCCCAAGTTTTTCGATTATTCCCAGATTTCTTGTTGTAATATCTTTTATATTTTTGTAAGTACATTTTAAAGAAGCAAGCTTATTGCTGCATTGAATTACTGTTTTTCTTAAAGTAGGATTGATTGTATTTATTTCCTTGGCAATTATTTCCCAAAATTGCCCCTGTCTACCATGTCCTTCTTTTAAGTCATTTTCTTTTTGTTGAAATAAATGGAGAAGAAGACGAGTATCACTCACAGACCAAAATGACACAGTTTTTTCTAAACGTAAACAAATTTTTATCAGTTCATTTTATTTAAAAATGTGATAAATATTTTATTAAATATATAAATATATTTAAGATATATAACATACCTTCATTACTTGGTAAATCTTTTAAAGTTTTTTTTTATTCAATGAAAAAATATTGAATCTTTTATAGGTTAGGAATCTGCCTCTACCTCGGATTTGAAGCAGTTTATGTGCGCAGTTTGTTAAAGCCAAGTTCGTAACGTAGCGACGTTTTATAGACAGCATAGCCACTGCGTGCATATTGCGCTATAGAGAAACGATATTTTGAGCGCATATGTGCGCATATGCGCAGATGTGCATTTTACGGAACGCAGCCACAGTAAGCGCCATTCTATCTTTGGCTTGGTTTACATCGTGCACTTGATACGCGTACTAAATAGTATCTTTCTATTAGATAATTTTAATATCGATGATATATATAAACAACGGTATATTAAGCTGGTATAATACTCATCAACAAAACATATTGTATTGATTGAATACGTCGCCATTGATATATATTGTCGATATTAAGATTCTTTAATAGAAAGTTACTATTTATTACGCGTATCAAGTGCACAATGTAAACCAGGCCATTGATTTGGTTTATGTCGTGCACTTGATACGTGTATTAAATAGTAATTTTCTATTAGATAATCTTAATATCGACGATATATATAAACAATGGTATATTAAGCTGGTATAATACTCATCAACAAAACGAATTGTATTGATAGAATGCGTCGCTGTTGATATGCATTGTCAATATTAAGATTATCTAATAGGAAGTTACTATTTAGTACGCGTATCAAGTGCACAATGTAAACCAAGCCTTTATCGCTCATTAGATGCGGAAAAAAGATAGAGTGACCCTTATAAGCGCTTAAAGCGCGTGAACATCCAAAAGGAACGCAGCTACAAATTGATATTTTTATCATATAAATGTTATACTTGTGTATGATAAGTCCGCAAACGTGATACCATAGTTATAATTTCTCTGTTAAGATGAGCATGTTGTAAAAACCAAGGCTCCAAAAGGTTTTTAATATGCGTTCTATGAATATACCTGAAACCTTTTTGTTTCGAGGTATCTTTAAAAAATTGCGCAACGTTTTCATTCATGCGATCTTTAAGCATTCTACAAATTGTACTAGAAAACAGAACAGTTTTATGCTCTACAGATAAATTTATACCACGAGCTGCGTTCTTTGCCAATTCATCAGCCCGTTCATTCCCTTCAACTCCAGAATGTCCCGGAATCCAAACAAACACGATATCAAAGCCTTACTTGATCAAGTAGCAATATATATCCTTGATAATATATACTAATTCATGCTGTTTACCAGCTGGGTCACATCTGCCCAGAGCCGCAATGAGACTTCTAGAATCGGTGGCAATAACCACCTTTTTTGACTGTGTGTCAAACACCATGGTCAAAGCATGTGCAACCACCGTAGCTTCAGCCTCAAAAATTGATAAATTATTATCAACCCAGATAGTCAAACCTGCGTGAGCAGATTTTGCGCAGAGTCTGTCAACAGTGTCTGTTGGCAGAATGACTACAGACTGCACACAGAATCTGTTTTATCAGTTTCTAACGGCAGATTGGTGGCAGACTGCGCGCAGAGCCTGTCGACAGACTCTGACGACAGACTAACGGCAGATTGCGCGCAGAGCCTGCAGACAGACCCTGACGGCAGATTGGCGGCAGATTGCGCGCAGATCCTGTCGTTTCGTAGGCTATTTAATGTTATGAAGTGCCAAATATACGCTATTAAATGGGATACTCGTATAGAATAAATATCCAAAATACATCTCATGGATATCCTATAGATGTCGCGATTTCAATTATAAGAAAAATAATCGAGTGTGATGGGCCAATTTCTTACGATTTAGGGCTAAAAGTTTAAATGTTATGGCTTAAATTCTCATTGTAGACGACGCTTAATGATATGAAGATTACGCAAAGGTTTTGGTTAATGTAGTCGGAAAATGTGTTTTTACGAAATTTATTTAAAAAATGGATAAAAATATCATTACAGAGTTTTCAACATACTACTTATTATTGTTTCAAATATAAGAAAATTATTCTTTTATTAAAAGAAAAATTGAAATTTCGTCTGATTTTTTGTGTGTGGTGTTCATAGACGTCTGTAACTGGCGAACAACATTACAGCACGTGTAATAATCTGAAACAAATGAAATAACAACATTTAAAAGTATTAGCTTTGCTGGAGAATAAATCAAAATGTTTTGAAAAATGTCCCTACCCAATAAGCAAAATATTAACAAAAACAGCTCTTAAAGAACTCACATTTGAGAGTATGAGTTCAGAAAAAAGTCTCTGGAAGAAGTCATAATGATCCCAGTAAGCAATCTGCGCGCAGACTGACGTCAGACTGTCGACAGGATCTGTCGAATTCGAGCAGGATCTGTCGACAGATCCATAGACATCTGCGTCCCCAATCTGCCGCCAGACTGTTGACAGGATCTGCGAACAGACTCTGACGACAGACTGGCGGCAGATTGCGCGCAGAGCCTGTCGACAGACTATGACGGCAGATTGGCTGCAGATTGCGCGCAGATCCTGTCGTTTCGTAGGTTCTTCAATTAAATTTTCTCATAATTTTTCATAATTACTCATAGAATAAGCGCTTTCTCATAAATACTCATAAAATACT